GTGCTCCATTTTCCCCTGGAATTACAATTATACATATTTTATACCTTATGAATTTGTCTAGCAATTCTTGTATATTCTTTTCTATTTCTTTTTTCCTTCATGTTTTTCTTTCCCAATTTCTGTTTGGAAAGTTTCTATTGATATATCTTCAAGCTCATTGATTCTTTCCTTGGTTTTGTCTAGTATACTGATAAGCCCATAAAAGGCATATTTTATTTCTGTATTAGTGTATTTAATCTCTACCATTTCCTTTTGATATCTGTGAGCATTTCCATCTCTGTGTTAAAATTAGTCATCTTATCTTGAATGTTCTTCTACCATTAGACCCCTACCATATTGATCATAGTGGTTTTAAATTCCCCATCTGATAAAATTCCCCATCCCCCAAATCTGTGCCATATCTGAATGTTGTTAAGTGCTTTGTGTTTTCAGTATGTGCTTTTCTTATGTTTTAACATGGTTTAGAATTGCTTGTTCAAAGCAAGACCTGATAGATTGACTAGTAGGAATTGGAAGTAGTTAGACTTTCAATGTCAAGTTTTGGTGATTTGGCTAAGATCTGAGCTATTTAATGATTGCTGTAGCTGTAGGTGCTAGAGGTTTCATTTTCCTCTACTGCTGTTTTGATTTTTTTTTCATTTACCTATTGGTTTTGGATTTCCCTAAGTACTCTTTCTTAAGTAGGATTTGTGTCTTTTAGCACTGTCAGTGGTAATGTGCTGTTACTTACTGTGCTTTAATTGATCAAGTGATAAGGTGTAGGAAGAATGGAAATTGTCTACAATTTTATTATTAACCTCAGGATTTGATTGGACATAAATCCTTAGGCTGTGACTCGCAGATATTTTTTCTTGCTCCTTTTATTCTCCTTCAGGTATGACAGGAAATCTAGAAGGGCTCAGTTGTCTATCTTCCCTTCCTCCCAGTATATCAAGCTTTTGTAAATTTGTATAGTCTACTAAGAGCAGGCATTTGTTATGGAATATGCTCATGATATATTTAAAAATTATTACTTTTCTCATTTCTTATTTTTTTTAGACATTCACTGTGAGAACTTCTGTTTCCCTTCTTTAAAACTCATGGAAGTGTAGAAAGTGCATAAATCTATGGCCTCAGGGGTTTGTTCTCAAACTAATTCACATTCAGCCTCTAGAAATTCATGAAAACTATGCTGAGTGTTCTTACATTCAACTGTATTCCTTGACATTTAAATAGAGATGTTACCTTGTGACATGAGTTATTTAATTTCTCATGAGTTATTAAATTTCTCAGCCTCAGTTTTCTCATCAGTAAAATAAAAATGAATTCAAATATATATGTTTATGTCAAAGTTGAATAAAAGGACCGATGTTAGAAAGTTTACCACAGATGCTAGCATCTACCTTGCAGGTACCTCATAAATACTAGTTCTCCTTTTCCATTAAGGTAGCTATGCTTGAAAATAAAGACTTTTTAGTTCAACCCTTTATGAGGTATTTATCCTAGTAACATAAAAAGATCTTTTTAGAAAGGATTTGTCATTCTTATAGTGCTGGAAAAATTGCCTTCAAAAAATAACCTGCATTTATAAGGAGTGCCTTATTCTGCGGGGCTTGAAAGGGTTTCAGTAGTTCATTTATTCTTTTCTTTTTCCAACCTCAAGTATATTCTCCTCCGAAAAAAAATGCCCACCCTACTAGTGAAAAGGCTCATAATAACACATTTCCTTCTGCCTGGGTCCTAAAGCAGGAATATCAGTACCAAATACTAAGGATAGTCATTTTGCTACAGTGATAGGCTATATGTCCTGGAGGGTAGTGAAGTCACTGAACCATTTAAAGACAGGTAATAGCCCGATTCTACACTTCAGCTATCAAACCACATCTAGAGAATTGTGTCCTTTTGAGGACACCATAATTTAAGGAGATCATTGAAAACACTAGAGCATGTTCAAATATGGTGACCTAGATGATGATGAGGTATCTAGATATCTAGAAACCTTGCTATATCAGAATGTATATTAACTGTTTTTTTAGGTCTATTTATATCTGCATCATGTATCTCTCTATATGTTGTTTTTTAAGGAAAAGAACACTTTATGTTCAGTGCCAAATTTTTCATGATAGCTCTGATTTATACATTGTTTGCTCCAGTGTTTCCTGGACTTAGCTTCTGACTTCTTCCCAAGAAAGTGTTAGAGGGAAACCTCTTGTAGCTAAAATGTTCATTATTGTCTGAGCAAAAAAAAAATCAATGGACTAAACTTCCTTGAAGTTATTTTAGCCTTTGACATCATTTCAGGCAAACCTCAAGTTGCCTAGAAAAACCAAGCATCCTTTTTCACCTAGTGTTGGATCCTATAAGTCCACCAGGAGCCTTTGAACACTTATGGTTTGCTGTATTGTCCTCTCACAGAGAAGTGAGGGGGTTGGGTAAAACTCAGAGATGTGCTAAAAGGGATCCTGAGCTGTGGAATTTGGAGCAGAAAGCACATGTGAGCTTAAGGTTCAATAGGAATGCCCTGCCTTTTTCCCCTGCAGTATATGTTGTTGTTATTCTTTCTGCAGAAGAGTTCATGATCTTTTGTAATTTTCTTTTTCTATTGAACCAGCAGTGCTGGTAACAGAAACTTTGAAAGAAGGTTATTGGCAGTAGAATCTATGGGATTTCCCTGCCATATATCTTGTGCATTAGAGAACAGATGCACTATCCATTTAAGATTAAATTTGCTTTGTAGAGAATTCATTTTCCCATGGCTTAAGTGATTGAGATCTCCAGAGGTAACAGTCTTCTCCCTTATCTTACTTCATGGTACCCCAAGGCAAAAGTGAATGCCATTCTGCCTTATTGTTCTTTGGGCCACAATTTCTTCTTTTACATTTCCATTTAGAGAAGCGATGCCAATGGGAAGATAATGAGTTTTAAATAGAACTTAACTTTCTACAAAGGTTTCTGAGAATATGTGTGCTGGCTATAGGTCTGAGGGCAGCTGGAGTGTAACTGTCACTGAGAGACACTAATTTGATTACTTCTACTTTGCACCTATGTGACCCCAGGAAGGTACTTTCACTCTACCAAGATTTGGTCGTATGTTAAATAGCAGTTACAGTACCAAACTCAAAAGATTTTTGTAAAGAGTAGCTGTCATTATATACTTAGAAATGTTTTCTAAACTCTAAATCAGATAGCTTGTTAATGTTTCTGAGACAAGGGTAGTATATAATTTCTTTTCATCTAGCCAGCACTTACGTACCCCAGTACCTAGCATAGACCCTAATATGTAATGCATAATTGCTCACTGAAATTAAAATGAAGAAAGAGTTTTACATCTCACACTTTTTGATAATTTTAAAGATTTCATTGACAGGTCCTGTGCACTGGGTTAGAAGATCTTTTGTTCTCATCCAACTTTTAGATTCCAGGACTGAGAGTCAAGTAGCATGGGCAGCCAGGAAGATTGTTATAACACAGATAAACATTCTAGGAATCACTTATGTTCTAAGCAAAATAAAACAAGCACATTAACATGCAATAATTGATGCAAAGGAAAAATTTCCCCAGGGTCACTCAGGTATAAAGTAGAAGTAATCAGTACAAAGCAATGGCTCCCAGTCACAGCTGTAATGCATCTGGGCTCAGACCTACAGCCAACACACATATTCCCAAAAAATTTTGAAGAAAGTTAGGTTCTCTTTTAAAGTTATTTTCTCAAGTGGGCTTGGAAGCTCCATAGAATTTCACTGGCATCTGTTCAACTTTGCTGGGCATGTTATAAGCCTAAAGGGAGAATCTAGGGAGCATGTTCTACCTTGTGAGGGATCTTAGGGCAGATGGTGGTGGCACAACCTAGAGCTCAGTTCTGCCACAGATGACTGAAATGTTGGACTAAGTGATCCCAAGAAACTGCTGGGAGTGGTGATAATTTGATTTTTCAAGGTTCATGAATTGACATCATTTGGAGTACATCTGTCCTGGACCTTTGCATTTGGGAAGGAATTGAAAGAAAGTTCTAAGTTAAATTTAAACATCTCAGGAAACTTGGTTATTGTTGTTTATTTTTAAACTCTTCTTGACAAAAGCTATTATTGTGGCTTTATTTCCTTCCCTCAGAAAAATATGGAACTCTTGATTATTGAGGATATAATTTGTGACTACAGTATTTCAGTTTGAAGAAAATGAGATGGTGGCATCACTATTTTCTCTCTCAAACCAGTGCCACTAATTGGGCCTTATGCCAAGGGGTTGAGGCAGCAGATGTAATCATGTATTTGTGGTCTCTGTAGAGTAGATCAGGCTACCAAGTCATGTGGAAGCTGAACTTACCAAGGAAGCTTAGCAGTTATCCTTCCAGATGTTCAGCTTGAAATTATTTTCAATATCAAATCTATAGATAAGTGCACAGATTGTTTTTTCCATCCAGACACCCCTTCAGTGGATAAATTCCATTTCCAGGTCTGGCAATCTGTCAGATAGCTCCCTTTAAAGTTATCTGGAGAAAATCTACCAAAATGATTAAATTCGTGAGAGCTTTTATTCTTGGCTAATAACTTGCCTCTCCTCTGGGGTTAACAGGCTTACATTGTTATGTGAGTTTATATAGTATATGGTTTGTTGTCAAATATTTATCTCTGTCTAAAAATGAAATGTCTTGAAATACAATTTCTTTTCTGTGAATAAATCAATAAGAGAAAGAGAAATAACTTCGCATTTAGTCAATTTTTAATCAATATTTTCATGAAAGGCTGAAATGTTAACTGAATCCTGGCATTTGTCTTTTGAAATATAATTTGTGTGTTTAAGAATTTATGTGTGCATCAGAGTTTGCACTTCATGTTCAGATAGGAAAATTGATTTATAGGAGCAAACAACTGCTGAAGTATAGGCAATGCCAAAAATGAATGTGAGTCAATTATTAAAGGCAAATGGGACTTTAATCACCACAGCAATAGAGAAATATCAAGTTCAATTACACCCTGGATTTTCATGCTTTAAATTATGGACATTTATCTCTTATTTTACAGAGGCCTTTGAAATTGTTGTTCGCCATGCCAAGAACTACACCAATGCCATGTTCAAAAACAACTATCCAAGCCTGACTCCACAAGCTTTTGAGTTTGTGGGTGAATTTTTCACAGATGTGTCTCTCTACATATTGGGTTCTGATATCAACGTGGATGATATGGTCAATGAATTGTTTGACAGCCTGTTTCCAGTCATCTATACCCAGCTCATGAATCCAAGCCTGCCTGAGTCAGCCTTAGACATCAATGAGTGCCTCCGAGGAGCAAGACGTGACCTGAAAGTGTTTGGGAATTTCCCTAAGCTTATTATGACCCAGGTCTCCAAATCACTCCAAGTCACGAGGATCTTTCTTCAGGCCCTGAATCTTGGAATTGAAGTGATCAACACAACGGATCACCTGAAGTTCAGTAAGGACTGTGGCCGGATGCTCACCAGAATGTGGTATTGCTCTTATTGCCAGGGACTGATGATGGTTAAGCCTTGTGGTGGCTACTGCAATGTAGTCATGCAAGGCTGTATGGCAGGTGTGGTGGAGATCGACAAGTACTGGAGAGAATACATTGTCTCTCTTGAAGAACTAGTGACTGGCATGTACAGAATGTACGACATGGAGAATGTACTGCTTGGTCTGTTTTCAACAATCCATGATTCTATCCAGTATGCACAGAAGAATGGAGGCAAGCTGACCACCACTGTGAGTATCAGTCTACAGTTGTCAGCCTAGGCCTTCTTGGGGTAGGGTGGCCTGCCCAGCAGCAGGTTATGATCAAGAGAAGTGAGTAAATAGAGGATGGACTAGGATGACAGATGGACTGAGTAACTTCACAGAGCTAGCCAATATGTAGAAATGACAGTCCATAGAGTCATAAAACCTGGCTTTGAATTTTAGTTCCCCCTATTTCCTTGCTATGGACACTGGGGAGTCTTTTTATCTTCATGAGCCTCATTTTTCTGATAACATGAAATAGGGATAAAAAGAACATCTTCATAGGCAATGATATGGGATGAGGCACTTAGGATCTGTCTGGTACTTGTAAGTCTTCAATAAATGTTAGTTATTATTACCATTATTGTCAGTTATCATAATCCTCGAGACAGTCCTGTGAAGTGGGAGATATTATCTTCATTTTATAAATGAGGAAACCGAAGCTAAGTGATATTACTTGCTATAAGCACCCAGCTGTAGTGAGTGGAAGAGCCATGATTGAGAAATTGATCGAGTCTCCTTTTAATTTGGTTATCATCAATTTTTCTGATTCTAGTTTCATTCTTGTGCTCTTATTAATCAGGTATATCACATTACCACATTGAACAGTGAATTTAAGCACAAGAGACTCAGCTAATACTCATTAATTAAAGCTTCACAAGAGTATAAGAAAACAAAACATCCATATTCCCTAACATATATGTTTCTAGCCATGATTATACTGGTCTAAAGCTCATGGAATTTGTTATATAGAAGAACAGTTCTGTAATGAGGCACAGGTTTGCTTAGTTTCAGTCATACATTGTCAAGGGACCACAGGAGCCATCTTTGCAATGTAGGGCAGAGTAAATAGCCAACAGCTACCAGCTAGGTCCTCTTAAGGTTGTGACCAATTCTTTAATGCTGCCAACTTTGTAAGAAAGGGTATCAAAATAGTAGAATACACTACCATCATTGAGTTCCTACTACATATTGGGTGTTCTTTTGGGCAGTATCATAATATTATTTTACAGAACCCATGAGAAAGGTCATCATAATGTCTCCCTTTTACGCAGAAAGAAATGAGGCTTGGAGAGGTTAAGATCCTTGCCCGAGATCTCAAAGCTAGTTATGTGGGAGGAGCTGGGATTCCAACCCAGTTTTGATTGGCCTGGTTGACTCTTGCACTTAGCTTCTATACAGTGCGACTGCTGTGTACTCTGAGCCATTGCATATCCAGAATGTGGAGAGCAGATTGGACCATTTAGCCTTGTCTTTAAACTCTGTAAGTACAAAATGATAGGGGTAATTGGTTTCTTTGGTGAATTAAACTAGGAAGATGGAAATGATGCAACCATCGGCATGGCTACTATGGGGCTGCTCTAATCACCCCATTCTCATTGTTGGCCATTTAAAACATATTTGCTGAAAAATATTTTAGAGTAAAATGAGCAGAAATGTCCTATCTAATCATGGTGTTCTTCACTGGCTAATTATTCCCTTGACTGCTTTATAATTTGAGGCCAGATTCTGGGGCCATGTGCAAAAGTAAATTTCACAGAACTAGAAAAATGAAAAGTAAATGCATTCAAATGTTCATTCCCTAATTCTGATTGATGGCCCACCATGTGTCAGTTACAAAGCAAAGGTGCTAGTGCTGTGGGAATGCCTTTTTTTTTCCTTTTGTGGTACTGGAGATTGAGCCCAGTGCTTCAAGCATGCTAGGCAAGCGTTCTACCACTGAGCTACTTCCCCCAGCCCCTTTTATTTTTTATTTTGAGCCAGGGTCTTGCTAAATTGCCCAGGCCTGCCCAGAACTTGTGATCCTTCTGCCTCAGCCTCCCAAGTAGCTGAGATTATAGGTGTGAACCATTGCACCCAGCTGGGAATGACTTTAGTAACCAAAAAAAGAAGATAACATTAAAGACAAAGTATAGGAGTATTTCGTGCTTGCCTGTACTATTGGTCACTTGACAGCAAGATAACTGATTTAGAACATATATATATTCCTCTAGAGCTTTTATCACAAAAAAAACATGAGGTGGAGAGCTGGTAACGAATTAAGTACACTGTTCTAGACATAAAGTTTTATTTAGTAAACATTTAGTAAACATCTGCTTTGTGATACTTTGTTATGTGCTGGATATTCCAAACTACCCAAAATGTAGGCCTTAAATCTTGAAAAGGTCGCAATCTAGTTGGTAGATAAACATATAACTGAATAAATTTCACCATAGTGAACATTTCACTATAATGTGAGTGTTGGAAGTACTGTGAGAAATTAGGTCATCCTGTCCCATTGATTAACAAATTAAGAAATAAAGTTCAAAGAGGCCCACCTAAAGTTATATAATTAATGAAAGAATCAGAAGTAAAATCCAGGGTCTTCTGCTACAATCTGATATTCTTTCTGTCATACAACTTTGTCCCTCATTAGACTCTTTTAGTCTTTCACTTTAAAAGCTTTATTATGATTTTGCAAAGACATAGTGAACTTAAACTGGATAACTATTTCAGGCTTACAAACCTGCTACATTTTACGTGAATGCATGTAGGGATGTATGTGTGCCTGTGTACATGTCCTTTGTGCATATGCATGGGGGGGGGGTACATTTCTTGTTATTATCATTCAGTAGGAAGGCCCTTGGCTGTCAAGAGGTGCTCAGTGATGCAGTCCCTTTCTGTTTTGGCCATTAAGGGCCTGATTGCTCCCAGTTCCCAGCTGGTTATGAGAGCATGAAGTCTGCCACCTCCTGGGAATGCCTGAACTAAACCAGAAAGCGTATGTAAACCATGCCTTGTTCCTGTTTTATGATCACCAAGTCTACCTAATATGTATCAAATGGTGGGGGTGGGGGAATTATTGGCCTGGTGTGTCCCACCCTATACTCTGTAAGGTCCAGAAAGGGGCAGGGCCATTTATAGAGGTGAGGGGAAGGGAGGGTTGGGTAGACTGCAGAACTGTGTTCTTATAAACAAACCCCCAGAATGGCCCAAAGCAAAAGCAGATTTAAAACCAAAGCCTTAATGAGATTCTGCTGGAGGACACTCACCTTCCTGTTGTGATGAAGCGGAAAACTCTGCAGTCAGTCCTGCCCGAGGTTCAGTTGTGGCAAGAGACCTGTTTAAAAATGTACTCTTCCTGAGCTTAACCTGCATAGCCTTTTTAGCTCGCTGTGAGTTGTAGGATGAAGCATGCCACACAGGGACTTTGACCAGTTGTGACGGTCTTTTGGTCTCCTAAGAGCCTGTGACACTGTTAGATTTTTTTTTTCCAGAAGTATGACTTCTTAGTGTTTTAGTTTCTCCTAGGAGTGTTCTCCACCCTTCAGAGTTAAAGCCATGCAGGTGAATGTTGGGCTGTTGTTGCCGGCAGCACCCTTGAGGTGGTAAGCACCCCTTTCCCCAAAACTTGGCTCATCGTCCGATTACCTGGAGAACTTCTTAAACAGATTTCTGGAGTCCAGCCGTAGAGATTCTGATATCATAGGTCTGTGGGGAGGCCAGAGAACCAGTTATTTCAATAGTGTCCCAGTTGGTTCTGGTGTCCCCTTGAGAGCAAATCCAGATACTTTGTTTGGTGGTTGAAGTGAATGGCTATATTCCGTAGACAGTTAGTGGCAAAACTAGGACCTCAGATACTTCTATGAAACGGAGTTGGTATAAGGGATTAAATAAAACAATAGGTTCAGGAACATGGCAAGTACTTGCTAAGCTCCATTCCAGTGCCCTATCTTTCTATGTAATTCTAAGTGGCAAATGGAAAATCGACTTTTTATAAACTGTTTTGTTTTCAGTACTGGGAATCGAACCAAAGGCCTTGCACGTGTGCTAGGCAAGTGTTCTATCATCGAGCTTTGTCCACAGCCCCTTAAGAAGATTTTTTTTTCCCGGTACCAGAGATGGAACTCAGGACCTTGCACTTGCCAGGAAGGCGCCAGCACCACTGAGCTAAATCCCCAGCCCTTAAGATGGTATTTATTTATTTATTTATTTATTTTGGTACCGGGGATCCAACTCGTGTCCTTGCGCTTGCTCAGCAGGTGGCGAAACAACTGAGCTAAATCCCCGGCCCAAGACGATTTTTAATTGCCAAGATTTCTTAATGTTATTTTAGTCCAAAGAAATGAAATAAAAGTATTGGTAAGTGTTTGAAATTGTGTGCATGAATTTGGGAGTATTGGTGGGAATAGAGAGAATTTGTACTGAAATGTCCAAACAGCTATTAATAAGCGACTGTGAATAGATCCATTTTGTCACTTCATAGAGGATGAAATAGGATGAATATCTTGGACCAAGTGAATACAGTTTCACTCTGTAACAGTGAAAGCATCACTGTTAAATTTATCAGCATATTACTGAATTCTACATTTTATACATTGAAGCAACGTGCATTTCAACATTCCTGTTACACCCAAATTGCTGAATGCCATGGCTTCTTTTTAAAATTTAACTATTTTTGCTCTGAAAATCATTTTGATTTTTGTTACCCTATACTTGTGCATGAACTGTGTGTGTAGCCTTTGTACATTTCATCTATAATTCATCTTTTTTCATGTGTGTGTGACACCAGAGATTGAACTCAGAGCCTTCATATTGAACTACACCCCAGATCTTTTATTTATTTA